CAAATAAATAAATAAAATCTTTAAAAAAAAAAAAAGAAATTCTGGAGACAGAGCAATGGGACTATGAGCTAGGTTTAGATTATATTAAGAGATCATTGCTAATTGTTTTGATAACAGCATTCCATGTAGGTAAGAAAGCACCCTTAGTTTTTAGAGCTACACATTGAAGTACCTGGGGCTTAAATGTGCTGCGATCTGGGAAGGACTTTAGAATATTTCGGCAAAGAAAAGAACAGAGGAAACCAGTATGGTGACATTTTAGTGATCGCTCAACATGGCTGATGGTTCACCATACTCCTCTTTCTCCTTTTATTTACGTTTGAGAGTTTTTTTATAATGAGAATTGTAAAACGTAGTTCATAAATACGTGAACATAATGTAGCACATAAATACATGAAAAAGCACACTTGCTAACATCAATAAGCCAAAAGACAATGGTACGGGGGGATGTTAGTACCTACCAGTCACAACCCCACCCCTCCTAGCCAGTCTACCTCTCCCAGCCCCCTGTGCCCCCTGCACGGCCCCTAGAACGTGCCCACCTGGCCCACCGCTCGGCCTGACACGATTCCCCAGGAACAAGATGGAGGGTGGTGGAGGGAGGATGGAGGAAGGATGAGGGTGGAGGATGGAGGGTGAAGGAGGGCTGAGGGACAAGGGATGAGGGTGGAGGGTGGAGGAGGGCTGAGGGATGAGGGTGGAGGAGGGCTGAGGGCTGAGGGCTGAGGGCTGAGGCAGGAAGGGGAGGAGTGATGAGGGATAAGGGATGACGGTGGAGGGGAAGGAGGGATGAGGATTGAGAAGGCCTGAGGGACAAGGGATGAGGGATGGGGGAAGAGGGCTGAGGGTGGAGGATGGAGGAGGGCTGAGGGGGGAGGGGGAGGAGGGCTGAGGGACAAGGGATGAGGGTGGAAGGTGGAGGAGGGACAAAGGATGAGGGATGGGGGAAGGGGGAAGAGGGATGAGGGACAAGGGTGGAGAAGGGTGGAGGGATGAGGGATGAGGGTGGAGGGTGGAGGAGGACTGAGGGCTGAGGGTGGAGGATGGAGGAGGGCTATTTCTTCTAGAACAGAACCCCCGGGTCACACAGCCAGTAATACTTTGGACCACATGCCATGGACGATCCCCTGGGTCATGCTTAACCAGGGACAAGCCCCGTCTGGTGCCTCGACCTAAGAGCAGAGTCAGGATTTAAACACAGACCCCTCTCCCCTGGGTCCAGGCCACTCCCAGTCTGCACGCTGGGGTCCCCCTTGATGTTTTGTCCGTCTCCCCAACCCGGAGAGCCCCCTGCCTGTGCAGCTGTGTGCTGGCATAGTGGGGGCCTGGGTCTTGCCTATAGGGGGCCGTCACTGTCCACAGGACCCACAGGGCCAGAGACCACCTGGGCCTTGCCCTGGGGGCTCTTCCGTGTGCCCCCGATCCCCACCGCCTCATCTGGGGCAGGAGGTGCCCGACCCCAGACCCCGGTCAGAGGCCCAGCACCTGCGTCTCGTGCTGGAAAGCACAGAACAAAGTCTGGAATTGCAGCTGAGTCCCGGCTTTGATCCCCATGTGTCATGGACACTTCTTCCCCAGAAAGGGAAACCTGCTCTACCCAGAGGCCTCAAAGGAACAAAAGAAGCAAAATGCCACTCTCCGTTTCCTAAACCATAGTAGGCACTTGGGAGGGGACCGATCATGTCTTTGGGAGTTGACACCACATGAATCCAAACATTCCTTTCTCCTGAAAATGCTTGAGTGCTTTGCACAAGCCATTTTTTAAAAATTTATTTATTTGAGAGAGAGAGAAAGCACGAGCAGGGGGAGAGGCAGAAGGAGAGGGAGAAGCAGGCTCCCCGCAGAGCAGGGAGCCCGATGCGGGGCTCGATCCCAGGACCCTGGGACCATGACCTGAGTTGAGGCATACACTGAACCGACTGAGCCCCCTAGAACAGCCTCCACAAGCAATTTCTAAACATGTCCTGAAAGCAGGCCGAACAGAACATCAGAGTGACTGGGGCCATAAGGTCCCTTGGAGGCCAGGACGAGGCCCGCCCTCCACCTCGGCGCCAGGGCCCTCAGAAGCCCCAAGAGGCACCCCCTCGCGTCCAGTGCAGCAGGACCTCGGTCCCCGGAGCCCCGCCGTTCCCAGCACGGAGACGACCCCCAGGCCCAGCCCTACCTGCACCTTCCCCGGCCCCATGTTCTTCACAGGGGGCGGCTGGCAGGGCTCCCGTACGATGAACAGTTGCTTTCTCAGGGAGGTGGTGCTGACGTCATTGAAGGCAAGGACCTGGACGGTGAACTGTCCTTCCCTGCAAAGGGCCACAGCACACAGGAATGAAGACACCCAGCCTGCCAGGCATCTGCCTCTCCTCCTCCACCTGCGTCATTAGAGGACGCGCTGGCCAGAGAGCCCATCCGTGACAACAGAGGACACACGGGTCGTGAGGCTGGTGTCCGCAGGGGCCATCTGCTGCCCAGTTAATACACCGGCTGCCCGCCCAGCGCGGGGCGAGCCGGATGCCCAGCTCCCAGGCCGGTGTCACCTGCTGATGGAGAAACAATCATTCCGGTGGAGACACCTCCCGGCGGCCATGGCCTGGCCCCTCTGTGCACCATGGGGTGATGCACCCGGGCCCCTCAACTGGGAAGTCTGGGCGTGATCTTCCTGCTCTGCTCCCTGAGCCTCAGGACCAGAGCACCACCCGCTGTCGTGGCGCGTCCATGAGGAAGGCAGGTCCCGCTGACCCCAGCGCAGGCTGCGGTGCGTGTCCGTCCCCGAGCCACAGAGCCCATTCCCAGGTCCCGGGCCCAGGTGCCCACCTGAGGGAGCCCACCCGGGCGCCATCGCTCAACTCCTTCCTCACGTGAACCCCCACCTCCCACGGAGAAGGCACACAGTGGGAGCCAGTGACGGGGCCATGTGGGCACGTCCTCGCGCGTGGCGAGGCCACAGGGGCTCCCGAGGAAGTCCTGCGCCGAGGCACATCTGCCGTCTCCTGCTGCTGCCAGCCACGGGGGCCTTGCTTCTGGGCCCTTCTGTACACGTTACCCGTCCATGCCAGCAGCACGGATGGCACCACGCCAGCCTGAGGCTCAGCTCCGTCCAGAGGTGTCCACAGCCTCGGCCACGGGCGCCCAGGGCGAGGGCTCACCTCCAGCCAGGGAGGAGGCTCAGGCTCGGACCTGGCTGGCCTGCCCTTCGTCACCCTCCTGACCTTGACAGTGGCAATCCTGACATTTGCCCCGGTGGCTTCCCGTGGGCGCGCCCGCCTCCCCCAGGCAAGCCCAGCTGTGCTTGGATCTCCATAATGCTTCGTTCCAGGTAAACAGCAGGTGCTCAGTAAATGCCGGATGAAAGGACACGGCCCAAGCTCTTCAGGGGGACAGTGAGCCTTTGGCAGTCCTTCCGAGCACCTTCTACCTCTGTCTGCCCTGTACCCTGCGTCCCACGGCCCTGTCCGTGTGTCTGGGCGCTCAAAGTGTCCGTTTCTCTGTCTCTCTTCAGTATCTGCCAACTGCATGCACTGCTAGGTCGGCTGAGGAGAACCGGGGCTCACACCTCGCAAAGGCCGTTCCGGCCGCCCCCACAGAGCCGTGCTGGCCTGAGCCGCTCACCTGCTGTAGGTGTGACTAGCGGAGCTGTCCCCGGGGCCCACAGTGCCGTCCCCGAAGTCCCACAGGAAAGTGACATCGGTGCCAAAGTTGAGTCTGCACTCAAAGGTCACGCTGGCATTCAGCAGAGCTGAGGAGGGGGACACGAGCCGATTGGCGACGATTCTCCTCTGCGTCCTGATGCGGTGGGGCTCCGAGGCCACGCTGCCCCGCCCACTGGCAGCCTGCACCGTCACGCTGTACCTGAGGTGGGACCGCCGAGGGGGCGGGAAGCGCAGGTGGGGGACAAGAGCGGGTCAGAGGTAGAGAGCAGCCCCAAGAAAGGCGGGGGAGGGTCGAGACAGTTTCACCCGCAGGGACTCCCCAGCCCTCATGGGTCCCCGCTTATGGGGAGGGGTGGCAGAGACGCCGGGCTGCCCCTTGTCATTACGTAGTCACCTGCAGAGTGGCAGGGTCACGCTGTGACCCTTGCTTGCACGGGGACTGACTTAGGTGGAGGAGGTGGGATCTGAACGCAGGATCGCCAGGTCCAAAGCCCCACGCCCGCCCCTAGTTCGAGTGGGAGGGACTTCCTCGTCCTTTAGCCTTCTATGTGCGTCCCTCCTATTCACAGAAGCACTCCGAAATCATTCGAGTGGCATCTGGGGAATCTGCAGACGAGCTAAGGCCAAATGACGCCCATTTACTCACCACTGGGGGACGCCAAGTCTTTTCTTAATGCTCCTGGACATTGTCTTCACGGGGGGACCTTCTCCAAACAACCACACGAACTCCAGGGGGGTCATTTCCTCGGTAACAGCCAGAAAAGTGATGTGGACATCGGTGGCAAACACGGTTCCGTTTGTGTAGACAGAGACGGCTGTGAGAGCGGGGGAGAGGCAGAAGCATTGGCGCGGAGGCGGGGGCCGGGCTGGGATGCCCGCATCCTCACCTCCCACACGGTACGGCCAGGAGGGAGGGTCCCAGCCCACATGTAGGGCTGCGGTGGGAACCCGCTGGGCAATTCTGGCCCCAGATCAAAGGCCACACCGTAGCTCACAAAATGAGAGCAGCCATCCCTGTGAGTTCTCCTCAAAGGAGCACGGGACGGGGCCGGGGCGTGCAGAGGATTCTGCACTGTGACCCACCCCACACCCTGAGGTCGAAGCCTTGACGCATGTGGCTTCTAGAAAGCGCGAGAATGAACTGCGGGTCAACACCAAGCTGGTTCAAGGGCAAATGCAAATCTCAGGGGAGCTAATCACAGCGTCTGGTGCTCCCGGGGCCCCTGTGGCCTCGACGGACCCGAACGAGCCTGGAATCAGAGTGCAGACGTACGGTGCATGCGATACCCGACCGTGACGCGGTGCTGGGCCTGGCCGCCCCCCGCTCGGCTCTGAGAAGTGAAGGCCACGTCCCCCGAGGGACAGGCTGGAAGTCGAAGCGAGACGGCGGTGCCTGAATGGACAACGAAACAAAACGAAACACACATAAGGGCCTTAAAGTCCGGCCCTCCGTCTCATGCCAGGGGTGGTCAGTGTTTTCCGTCTTTTCCTTTCCCTCTCTGAATTCCAGTGAGTTCCAAGTTCTGGCGCACGAGACTTGGAGTCAGACAGGTCTGAGGAACGTGGGCCTTGTCTGGAATGTCTCTGACATTTTAAGCGTTTTCTGCTCCCGAGACCTGCCCTGCGTGGAGTGAGCGTGTTCATCCCTTTGCCGGATGGCCTTGCCTTGGAAGGATCTCCCTGACGGGCACGCGAAGGGCTGCTTACTGCACGAGGTTCCCAACGGGGCCCCGGGGCAAGCCTTGGGCTGGTAACCCCCCGGACACACAGTGCAAGGTGCCGCACATATGGGACACGTGTGCGTGTCTGCACCAGGAGGGCGGCTACCAAACCACCTGCCGGGTCCCAGAGGAGGACTGGCGTGTCTGGGAAGACTCAGAACAACCCATGTGTCTACATGAGGAAAGGAGGTGGGTCTTTTCTTCAAAGACTGTTGTCCTGTGTAGTTTTTCCCTTTAGAGGGAGAAAATGCTCATTTATAACAATGACCACGCGGAGTGGGTGTTTCATTCATCTGCGCGTTAGAATTTCTGAAGAATAAATACCCCATGACTGAGAGTGACATCATCCCACGAGCAATACCTGAAGCTTCATTCTGGTGGGAATGCGGTATCAGGCCGCGGGAAGAAGCACACATAGGGATTTGCACGGGAACACCTCGTTCGCACGCATCCGTGCCAGACCCTCCGATTCTAACTCCTGACACAGAACGACCGGGGACAGGCTAACCCCCCACCCCCACATGTGTGTTCTAATTTCTTGGGTAGAGAGGCTCTCACAAGGCTAACTGCATGGAAACTGTACGGTCAGTGTGGAGAACAAGTTACAAAGACCTCCAGGTGAGTGAGCGCATCTGGACACACGCCCACTGGCTTCCCCTTTTCCCCACTTCTGGGAAACGTAACACATTGCTCCATCCACTCAGGCCGAGCACTCTGGGACCATCTTCGACGGGTGCCCACGACCCTTCCTTCCACATGTTGCTGACACTTGGCTGGGATTCTCCGTTCCCACCCCGCCGGCCCCCAAGCCCGGTGCCTCCCCTACAATGTTGAGCAGATGGGGAGCCCCTCGCCAGTGGCTGTGGGCCCGATGGGAGTGAAGTGCAAGCAGAGCGCCTGGCCCCCCTGTGAGCACTCATCCATCCCCAGTGCCCGTGGGGCCTCATCTCTGTGCTTGGAGTTCCTGCCCAGCTGCCAGCCCCACATGCTCTCCCCACACCCGCTGGACCCCTCCCCAAGGCCCAGGATGGATCCAACGCTTGCCCTAGAACTTCCTTATCCCGCGGTGATACACCTTCCCTCCTGACACGTCCCAGGCCCTGGCCACGCCCTTCGAGAGGCAGCACCACGTCCGAGGTCCTGTGTTTCCAACACAGACCTCGATGTCTTTCCTAGACTGTAAATCCTGAGACCAGGACTTGGTAGGACTTCATCTTCATGTGCCCCTCAGAGCACAGTACTGTGCAATCAGTGTGTCCTGAACGAGGCGGGGTAAAGGATGAGATGAATGCGTGTCTGAGCTGAGAATCAGTTCGACCTGGATGTACCACCTGGCAGAGGCGGGTCTGGGCGTTCAGAATCCGCATGTGTCTCTTACCTTTCTGAATTGTACTGCAGTCAGCAAAGACAAGAAGCTCGTCCTTGTGGATGCTGCTGGAATTCATGAACACGGACACGGTCGCAGGGCCGATCTCCACATAATAAGGCCCAAGCTCCTTTTCAGTTCCACAAAACTCGTAGATACATGCCTTGAGCACATAGGCTCCTTCTGGAAAGAGACGCAAGAGCGGCCACGTGATGAGTTATGAACAGCACGTGCAGCACTGAACATCTGTGCAAAGGCAATGAGGGGTGAGTCCTCTGGGAACGGACCCAGCACAGGTGGCTTTCTCTTGCAGAAGGGGCCACCTCATGGGCAGGGGACCCGTGCAGGGCATGTGACATGCAACAGGGCCCGGCGTGTGCCTTCATGCTCCGCAGTCATGAACGTCTTAATAATTTGTGTTAACCAAGGGTGCCGCGTTCTCACATTGCTCTGGGCCCTGAGAACGACGCAGTAGAACATATTCGTGAGGATGCAAACAGACACCGGCCACCCCACAGCGAGGCAAAAGAATGCAGCGGTTGTGACGATCACAAACACACACGCACACACACATGCACACAATGGCCTTCTATGAAGTGAGGGGTGGGCCACGAGGCGTGGGGTGGAGCCGGCTGGCGGGAGGGAAACAGAAACCAGAGAGCACGACAGGAGGGATCTGGAGGGAAAGCGAGAACGGTAAGCAAGATGAAATGAGCAGAAAGGATTCGAGAAGCAAAGGGACCTAGCACGTGCATGGCCAGTCTTCCATAAAGAAAGCTGAAATGCCAGCACAGAAACAGATTTAAAGACATAATTTAAAAAAAAAGTCTTTCCTGGGGATGCCTGGGTGGCTCAGTTGGTTAAACGTCTGCCTTTGGCTCAGGTCATGATCCCAGGATCCCAGAACCCTGCTTCTCCTTTTCCCTCTGCCCCTCCCCCCACTCATGCACTCGCTCTCTCTCTCTCTCTCTCTCTCAAATAAAATCTTAAACAAAAATCTTTCCTGAAACGAAGGAAAACAAAGCATACTTACATATTGGAAAGGCACGCCATGCACCAGAGAGAGTTGACCTGGAACGGCCAGGCGTGTTTCCACAAAGTTACGGGACCGCAAATATAACAATGACTTTGAGCCAAACACCAAGTCATCCCTATGGAGGAAACAGGAAGCTGACCGTAGATGCCCCACAGCGTGGCAAGTGTGAGGGTCACGCAGATGGCTCCCCAAAGCACAGAGGACTAAGATCCAGCCCCTGCATTTCTGAGTCTGTATGTCTGCGGCCAGAGAATCTGTACTTTATCCTGACATCAGATCTGGATGATGTCGGTCCAAGAACCCCACCTGGCCGGACTGGAGCAGAGAAACACCTCCATTCCTCGAGAAAAGAATGTGTGACCACGGATGGAAGAGCCAGCAAGTGGTCATTCACATATAACAACTTCGAATACGGAAGAAGTGGGAATCTTATTCCATGAGTCTTCCTAACACATCTATTCCAAAACATGCATCTGATAAAGGCTGCTATCCAAAACATATGAAGGACTCTCAACACTCAACAAATAAGCAAACAGACGGCCTTATTAAAAAGTGGATGGAGGAGCTCTGGAAGGAGACGCGTCACCCAAGGAGACAGTGAGACGGAGTAGCACATGACAAGATGCTCCGCGTCCCGCGTCAAAGCCGTGCATGCGGGAACCACACCCCTCAAGGACGGCCAGGATCAGCCCCGATGGCACCCACTGCTGGCCAGCATGTGGGGTCCCAGGAGCGCTCGCTCACTGCTGGTGGGGATGCAGAACGGCCCAGCTGTGGGGCGCCCAGCCGGCTCAGTCAGAGGAGAATGTGACTCTGGATCTCGGGGTCATGAGTCGGACCCCCACGTTGGGGGCAGAGATGACTTAAACAAATAAATGCATAAACTTAAAAAAAAAATGGTGCAGCTGCTTTGGGGGACAATTGCGTGGTTTCTTTAAAACTAAATATACCCTCACTCTAGGATCCAGCAATCACGGGGGTGTGGGCCAGACAGGTGCTGGGCTATCTGCTGAGACAGGTGCTGCCGAGGGGGAGGACACCCCGAATCCTGCCTCAGGCCAGGCCCCCTTCCTCCTCCTCACACGCTTTCACACTCACACGCACACACACACACGCGTTCCCAGCAGGGGTGTGATCACGAGGACCAGACGGAGGGTGAGCGCCGGTGCTGGGGACATGAAGATGCCGGGAGCCAGCATGCCTGCTCTGTCGAGGGGCATGGGGCTACGGCAGCCCCGCAACCCACCAGCTGTCATCGTTTCATTCCTAACACCGACCACAGTTTAAGTCACAAAGACAACCTCGGCATTTTTTTTTAAGCAAAATGGGAGAAAATATCCACTCATCATGATGGGCTGGAACTATGAATTAATAATGAAGCCAGAACACGAGAAAGGCCATACGACAGGTGGCGATTTTAAAACTTGAATAATAAATAATAATGTAAGCATCCAACTCAAAATGGAAATCTAGAACAAAAGCATTGTATAAGAGCAGGAAGAAGGCAGTAAAGATAAAAGCAGAAATTAATAAACTTAGGGGAGGAATGCAGTCAATGAAATTCAAAGACTGGTTCCTTTTTTTTTAAGATTGATTTATTTGAGAGAGAGAGAGACAGTGAGCACGAGCGGGGAGGGGCACAGGGAGAGGGAGGAGCAGACTCCCCGCTGAGCAGGGAGCCCGACTTGGGGCTCGATCCCAGGACCCTGGGATCATGACCTGAGTCGAAGGAAGATGCTCAACCGACTGAGCCACCCAGGCGCCCCTGAGTATACAACTCTGGATTTTGGCTCAAGTCGTGGTCTCAGGGCCCTGGGATCAAGCCCCACACTGGGCTCCACACGGAGTCTGATTCAGATTCTCCCTCTCCCTCTGCCCTCCCCCTGCTCATCTGCTCCCTCTCTCTCTGTGTCTAAAGTAAGTAAAATCTTTTAAAAATTAAAAATTAAAAAATTAAAAAAATTAAAAAGCCCTTGATAGGAACCCTCCTACGCTGTCGGTGGGAATGCAATCTGGTGCAGCCACTCTGGACAACAGTATGGAGTTTCCTCAAAAAGTTAAAAATAAAACTACACGATCCAGCAATTGCACTACTGGGTATTTACCCCAAAGATACAAATGTAGGGATCCGAAGGGGTACGTGCACCCCGATGTTTATAGCAGCATTATCAGCAATAGCCAAACTATGGAAAAAGCCCAAATGGCCATCGACTGATGCATGGATAAAGAAGATGTGGTTACACAGACACAATGGCATATTAGCCACCAAAAAGAATGAAATCTTGCCATTTGCAATGATGTGGATGGAGCTAGAAAGTATAGTGCTAAATGAAATAAGTCAGTCAGAGAAAGACAAATACCAGATGATTTCACTCATATGTGGAATTTAAGAAACAAAACAAATAAGGGGAAAAAAAAAAAAGAGAGAGAGAAAGAGAAAGAGACAAACCAAGAAACAGATCCTGACCTCTAGAGAACACCCTGCTGGTCACCGGAGGGGAGGTGGGTGGGGGATGGGGAAACAGGTGATGGGGAGGAAGGAGTGCACCTGTCGTGATGAGCACGGGGTGATACAGGAAAGTGTTGAATTGCTAGACTGTACACATGAAGTAATATTACACTGTATGCTAACTGGAATTTAAAATAAAAAAATAAAAAATTAAAAAAGTCCTGATAAAGGAGGAAAGATGAGAAGCTCCTCAACAATCGAGAAGCTCTATCGGCCCCAAATCTGTTACCAAGCTTAATGGGCAACACCGAAAGCATCTTGAGACAAAGATGCCACTGTCATCTGTCCTCGGCCACCTTGTTCTGGAAGTAGCAGCCACGCTGAGTGAGACAAGGATAGGACAGGTGTCAGCTTGGAGGTACAGGGATGGTGTGTACCCATGTGTACATAATGTTCACGTAACTGACAAACACTAAGGAGTAAGCTTCATGGTAACTACACACAATGTGACAATTCAGAGCGATAGAGGGGTACAAAATTAATAGTCAATACCAGCAACTCTTCCACATCCCATTGACAACCCACTTGAAGAGAAAATGAAAGAAAAGATCTCATATACCCCAGCACGAAAAGTAAAACCTCCTCTGAGAAACGTGCACTTTCCATATGAAGACATTTTTAAATGCTTCTAGAGACACAAGGAAGACTTGGACAGAGAAAGGTATTTTCATGAGAGGGGGGATTCTTGAGCATAAATAGTCTGCAGAAATCAATTCGTGAATTTAACATTATTTGAATAAAAATGCCAATAAGATGTCTTTACGCGAGCCAGTGGGAGTCTAAAGTCCACGTGGAAAAATGGACAAGTGAAAATAACCAGAATAATTTTAGAAAAGATGAGTAATGAAGGGGAGCCCAGCTGCATGGACAGCAGAACCCACCCCACAAGCAGGGGTGGGGAGGGAGGGCTGGGGGTGGACGGCAGGGGCTGGGGGTGGCCGGCAGAGGCTGGCGCTCTCCAGATCCCTGGGGGCAGGGCCAGCAGCGCCCAGGGGTGGTCATTCAGAGAAAAATAAAATGCAATCTGCCCCCTCAGACTCGTCACCAGAATGCACACTCCAACGTACTAAATATTCAACTGTGCGGAACAGAATCATACAAATACTGCAAGATACCACGATAGAATTATTTTGCAAACTTGGATTAAGGAAGGGATTTCTCTCTATGACATAAAACCCAGAAACCATATAAGAAAAGAGAAAGTATACTTAAAAATTAAAATTGCTGCATGAAAGGGAAAAAAGCTGTAAGCAAAGCCCAAACACAAATGACAAATGAGAAAAACATTCATTGCAGCTTATACCTGATGAAAAGGACTAATTTTCATGATTACTAAAAGTGCTCATACAAACAGCATATCAGGTTGAACCACGAAAGTACTCTTCTTCTTGGTAAAATATGGCAAATGTTGGCACTTTCGCGGGATTGAACCTAATAAGAGGCAAATTAAACCACAGAAAGATACGTTTTCACCTTTTACACTGATGTCTACACTGCTCCGGGGACTATAAACCAGCCAACCCTTCCTGGGAGCAATTTAGCAACAACCAGCAAATTACAAATGAACCTAGCATTTGAGGAAGTAATTCCTCTTTTCTATGAAATAGCACATACATGCACGTTGTGTGCAATATTGAAAGATTAGGAAACAATCTCAAGGTCTACCCATAAAAGAATGGTAAGACAGATTTGGGGCACTGCACTACCAGACCCCTCTGCACCCACAGGCACGTGTGGGAAGAGCTCTGGATGTGGACGAGCACATGAGCGAGCACGTGAGCGACAGGGAGCGGGGCTCCGCCTGGTGCACGTGTGTGTGTTCCAGACAGAAAGATCACAGGGGCACTGCACACGCATGAGACATCTCAGAGATAGAGAGCAGTGCTGCCTGAAAGGGGGCACCCATGACCACACGCCTCCCTGTAAGGTGGGGGTTGGAACTTCGAGAATGTACCATATTCAAAAAATAATTTTAAAAAATAAACAGCGAGGAAACAGTGACATGGTGCTGGTGAGCAGGATAAGGTTGGAATTGACCCGCTCCCACCCCCAACATCAGCACTGGGGGCTTCTCCATGAAGACGGGTTCCAGCGCCAAGACGTCTGGAGAACAATGGTTTTTGTGACTTTGTCTAAATGCAAACTGTTTGACAGTTTAGTGCAGAAGATTAAGCGTGCAATGTTGTGTGTACGTGTGTACCCACAGGACAGTGTCAGCGACTCACACCAAAGCTCAGAGCTTTCCCGTGGAGGGGGTCACTGGCTCACTAGGTGTGTGACCTCAGGACAAATCCCTGCCCCTCTGGCCCTCCCGTGCTCCTCCAAATGGAGAACAGGGCCGATGGCGGGATTCAGTGAGGAACAGTATACGGGAGCAGGCCCAGTGCAGGCTCCTGGGCCTTCATCATCAGAACACGCACGCACGGGGGGCCGGGGGGGGCGGGGGGGCAGGGGGCGCCAGGAACAAGTGGGGTCTCCTTTCGGCCCCAGTGTGGCCAGCGCCATCTCTGGGGTCTCGCCACACTGCACTCACTGCCTGGGTTCAGATCCTGACACCGAGCACCCTACCTTTCCCGAACTGGTGGTAGGAGGTGACCGCCGCTCCTCCAGTCACATTGCGGATCACCACTGGAACCCCAGAGCTGTCCCCAAAATCCATCACCAGACACAGAGCTGCTTGGGAAGCCACCTGGCCCCGGAAGCCCAGACTCGGAGGCGCCTGGGCGTCCGCGTCTGGGAAGCCACGGATGGCGGGATCCACTGTGTCAGCAGGAACTTGCACGGAGATGGCCCCAAGGTGACACTGAGCAAGGGGACAGAGCTGCTTGGGACGAGGCCAGGATGCTGAGCCACTGTGGCCGAGGGAGCTGTGGGGAGAGAGGAAGGACAGCTTCAGAAAACACAATGGTCCGACCGGGAGGGATGCAGACCAGAGGGGAGCAAGCTCTGTGGAGCCTGATGGCAGGGCTTACTCTCCCTGGCTCCCAAAGTGGGGTCCCGGGCCCAGTGGCGCCAGCATCAGCGGGCCCTGGTGAGAAATGCAAGGTACGTGGAGTCAGAAGCCCCGCGTGGGCCCGCAAGCCCGAGGGGACACTGAGGGCACCTACAATCTGAGAGCCCCCGCTCCGGCTGCATTAATCCCAGCCGCGATGCAAATGCTCTCCCTCATCGCTGAAGGAAGGGCCCTATAAGGTATGCTCCCCGAAAGTCACTACCTCTGATAGTTCTGTGAAAACGCCCAACGTGGGCTGGGCACCAGCCTTTCCACCAGCGGCCCTTCCTGCTGTAAGTGCCCTGTCTACTAGGAACATGCAATCATTCACAGCTCCAGTCTGGATGGGCGTGTGCCCAACCCGAAATACAAAGCCCACCCAGTAACATGGGCTCTGGTGGGGAAAACAGTGGCCAGCTGTGTGGTCCAGGGCACTGGGACTGAACTGGTCACAAATGCAACCACCACTAGGTGAACAGGGAGACAGTGAAGTCGCCAGCCCACGGGGCGTGCCTCCAGAATCGGGGTCTAGGGCGGACACAGGCCTCCCCGCCACCCTCACCCTACCTTCCCGGTAAGGTGGGAAAAGGTGCGGTCGGAGTGTGGGTCTGAACGGACGCAGCCACCCAGATGGGGGCCCCCATCGTAACGGTGGCTGCTGTGACCTCGGTCCCTGGAAGCCGCTCCGGGGCCACGTCCTCTGCAGAGTGCTGCTGTCCCAGGAGACAGGCGGGGATCTGTGTGCTCACGCTGCGGGAGCCCACTGCGGGACAGGTGCACTGGAATTTAAGAGGTGAATGAGTAAGGGGTCATGACGGGGTCTAGGCTGCCATCGGTCAGCGCTGGTCTCTGCACGGTCGGGAAGCTGGAGAATAAAGGGTCCCCGTGAGGCTGTGGGCTCCCTCATCCAGGTGGGTTAGCGCAGGGTGGCCCCGTGCCTTGCAGACGGGGTGCGGGAGAGGGTTCACACCAGCCAGCACAGTGGCCAAGGGCACACCGGCGGCAACCACTGGGAGCCTGGGGAGACATCGCTGTCCCGAGTTCACGCTACTCCCGGCGAAGTGACCACGAATAAGCTCCTTTATAGGGTCAGCTACAAATCAAAGGGGACGGCTGAGCGGCGATGCTCTTGCAGACATCAAAAATGCGGTGCACATTCTCCATTAGTAAGGATCCAATTCATATTACGCTTTCAAACCGGCTGAGCAGCGTCCGAAGGACTAGCAGCTGGAAATACGGCTCGCCCCCAAGCCCCAGGGCTGCCTGACCCACCAGCAGCTTTCCGGAGATGTTCCCCCACGTCAGGCAGACACACCCACCTGGAGAAGACCACAGAGGTCACCGCTGGCTTTCCCAGCCGCACACATCCGTCGGCCACAGGGGCCACTGCTGCCCCAGAAGCTCGCCATTGTCACGGAAGGTCCCCAGGAGTCTCTGGATACGAAGGGGAAAAGGCAGAGACAGGAAGGCTGGCTGTGCTTCGCTCACTCATGTGGCCGTGAGACCACGGGAGGCCTCTCTGTGACCCGCACCTGCTCATCGGCGGCCCGGGTGACACCGGGGTGTCTGCAGGTAGAAGCTGAACCCGCAAAGGCTGCGCCAGCGTTCTGGGAAGGAGTGTCACCGAGGAGGAGCATATTTAAGGCCATTTACTAACATCTGTCCCCAGCTGGGACCCCGCCTCAGATGGCTCACCCGAAGGGTGGTCACTGTCCTAACGTGCTCTGCCATCCAGGGGCGGCTTCCTGGGCTCGGGTCACAGGGAGCTGTCCCCTGAGGCAGAGCCAGGCCTCTGCAGGATTCACCTGTGACTCGGGGCTGCTCCCGTGCATGGCAGCAGCTCACCGAGTCTGGTGCCCTCCAAGGTTCTGTGAGTGGGATGCGAGGGGCATGACCACAGCCAGCAAGGACGAGAACCTCTTAGAGGGTCCCCTTCATGTCCCATGTCACAGGACCCCATTTACCTCGACCCGTGGGCCCTACAGGAGGGATGTGCCGAGGCCGGTCAGGGCCAGGGCACTCAGACACGGACGCCGTCCCCCTCCTCTGCTACAGGGCTGAGTCCTTGTCCTGGGGCCGGTGAAGCTGAACATCTCTGGCCCAGGCTGTCCTAACGCTGGGCAGGAAGTATGTGGGCTCCGGGGGCCCAGCTTCCAGCTGTGGTAATGGCACAAGGGGCCCAGACTTCAGATCACAGCACAAATACCACAGGGCCCGTGAGCCCAGGCCCTCCCTGTCCGCACAGGGTCACCCGTTCTCTCCATCCAGGGGCTCTCCAGCCAGTCAAGCCAGCCGTCCTCCCGCAACACAGTTCCTAGTCCTCTTGTCCTGGCTGCTGGCTTCCTACCCGTTCCCATATCCCTTCAGCTGTTAACGCAGTGATGTTCCTTAAAACCCCCCAGGTCTCCACTGAGCTCGCACCGCCTCCAGAGGACGGACAGGGAGCGCCTCCCCAGAGTGCTGCTCTGCTCAAACCTGTTTCCAGAGTTTTCCGGGAGGAAGGCCCCCTCCCCCGACGCATGTGCAGCTGAGACTGGCTGCCCAGCACCCCTGCTTGGTGCAGCGGAGGACCAAGGATGCCCGTGGCCCGCTGAGAGCCTGGTGGCGCACAAGAGCACGAATTCCAACCGGGGGGTTCTCTCTAGCAGAACACGTTTCTTACACACCGGCTAAGTTCCAAAACCGCTCCGCAGCAACCAACCCCGAAGTTCCGCACTGGAGGAAGACGGAGTCTTCAGCTGGGGCCCCAGAGGATGCGTCAGTCCGCCCAGGGACCTGTACCAGCCGGATGGGCCGGAGCTACCACACCTGCAAGGCAGACGCCCGGACGGTCCCGCCAGGGGCGGAAGGCTACGGTCGGCACAGAGGACTCCAGACACCACAGCCCTGGGCCACGCGCCCAGGCACACGGCTCACAGGCCACCTGGCAGGTCCCACTCGCCCCAGGACTGCAGCCCGCAGTGAGGAGGGGCTGGCGGAGCCGGGACGAGGATAGGTGTGCAGAGCAGGGGCCCTCTTTGGCTTTGTTTTTCTGGGTTTTCCTAGAGTGCCTGACCTGCCAGGTCCCCATAGTCACCGGTCGGACCAGGCCTGGGTCCCCTGCCGTGTGTGTGTGCTCTGCGCGGGTGGGCCTCCACCCGCCCCCCCAGTCTGCTCTCTGCAGTGTTAGGGCAGCGGCTGAGGCCCAGCGGGGCGACGCGGGGACACAGAAGGCCACGTGCACCCGCTCCGTGCGCGTGACAAGTCAGAGTCACACAAAAACCTGACCTCCCTGCGGAAGCCTGCAGGCCCACAGCCGCAGAGCCGAAATCTCCTGCACGCCCACTCCTCCTCCCCTGCCGGCCCTCCCTGGCCTCCCCCGCTCCGGTAGCAGTGGGGTAGACTGCCTTGGGCCCCCGCCCTGCCGGGGACTTGTACTCGCACCAAGGGACACCAACCACTCCTGAGAGAGGCTTCAAGGGCCGTCAGGAGGTGCTACTGTTGATCTGCATCCAGCTTGCCTTCAGCCAGATCCCAGAAGGAAGAGGCCGCGGGTGCAGGGCCTCGTCTAGGCACAGGGGACACAGAAAAGGGCCTCTGTCACCAGGGGTAAGCCCCACCTGGACAGAGCGGCTTGTCCCAGCAGCGCTGCTGGCAGAGGTGGGTACCTGTCCCTACAATCCACCTGCTTTCCCCAAACGGGCCACGTTCCCCCCTTTGCTGGGATGACTCCTTCCCTGGCTCCACCTAACGGACCTCCAGCTCACTCCCCAAGCTCAGTCCCCAGTCCCAGGCCTTCCCGACTCCGTGGACACCCCCCGTGCATCTCTGTAGAGTCAGAAGGGCCCCACATTGCCCTATTTGCTGTTTGGGTTACGCTTCCCTCCTGCACTGGATTGAGGGTCCCCCAGCGGAGGACAGGATCTTATTAGTCTCTGTAACCCAAATTCTGCCTCATAGAGTGGGGGCTTCAATAATGGTGGGGTTTTGTGGGGAAGGAGGAATCGCGCAAATAAATGGAGAGCAGGTGCATTGAGGTCCCTGGGGAGACCTGGGGAACACGGCTGTTCCAGCAGCCTGGCGGGTGGGCCACACGGGGCATGGGGCAGGGGGGCTCGCATCAGTGAACATGGTGGAAATGCGCTAATCACCAGGAAGGACAAAGAAACGTCTGTATCCGGGCACCCGGTGTTTCCTTGTTTTCTGTATGCGTCAATGTTTAAGTTTCATTAGGGTGAGTAAAACCATAGATTTCAGGACTACCATGAGGTCCAAGAGCACGCCACGTGTTTTTAGAAGCACGCTCACTTCCAATTTTTGATGGCCCAATGCCACTTTCTTATTGTGGCAAAAAAAATAATAATAACATAAAATCGACTGTCTTTCTCATTCTGAAATGTATACTTCATCAGTGCTTGGTACCTTCCGGGTGCTGTGAAACATACCCCAAGGATTTTTCATCCTAAACATCCTGCGGACCCTAAACCCTGCACCCACTGAACACCAGGTCCTCGGTCCCCACCCTCCACCCCGGCACCCACTATCCATCCTCTGTCTCTAGGAACTCGGCTGCTCTAGGGGCCTCATGCACATGGAATCCTGCAATATCCACCCTTCCATGACTGGCTTGTTCCACTTAGCGCCCCGGGCTCAGGCTCCCTCTGATGCCACTGTTTTCAAGTTTACCCATGTCACACCCGCGAGAAGACCAGTCACCCATTCTTCCTTCCACCAAGATCGGTGTTCTGTGTACTCTGCAACCTCTCGCACCCCAGACGGCGCTCCAGAGCTCACCCCGGCCCGGGCAGGTCCTCGCTCGCATGCCCGTGTGCAGAGCAGAGCTCCACTGGGGCTCACAGACATACCTCTCGGCACGGTCACCCCGATCCGAAGCAGCCCACGTCCTCTTGCTGACAACACTTAACACTGCTCTGCTGGTTGTTTTCAAAATGTTCTGGGAGGGGGACAAACAGTAATAACTTGAGAGCTGCTTATAAGAACTCAGTGAATTTGGGCAAGTAACACTATTTCACTCACAGGACAGCAGCCGGCCCTGCTGGGCTGTAGAGAACGGGCAGAGAACAAAGCAGGCTAGCCCTCTGTCCCCCTGGAGCCCATGGTCTCGGGGTCATGGGGAGCCAGCTGGAGAGCAGGAGAGCTGTGGACACCAGGAGGGTAGGCGGTCCCGGGGGAGGCAGGGAGGTCCGATGGGGTCTTCAAACCTGGGACTCTGCATGTCCTTCTGAATGAGACACAGGTGTGGGCACCCGAGTGGCATAATCGACCCATGGCCTGGCCGCCATATTGAAAAAGGATGTGAGAGGCAAGAATCCCAAGGGAGATATTCTGAATTGGCTCTCAATTCAGACATTGCATCGGCCCTAGAGACACGAGTGGCTCTGTTTCCAGGGCTGAAATGGGTAAGGCAACACCCCTGGGTACCCCTGATGGAATCCTTCCAAGAGGCAGGGCGCCGTAGGACATCTGTGTCAAACTACCCAGCACAGACCTCCTTGATTTACGGTGGGGCTGCATCCAGATGAACCCATCGTAAGTTAAAAATACTGTTAAGCGGAAAATGCATTTGACACACCCAGCCTCCCGAACATCAGAGCTTAGCCTGGCCCGCCTTCAATGTGCTCAGAACACTTGAGCCTACGTTGGGCAAAATCCTTGAACACAAGGCCTATTTTATAGTAAAATTTTGACTCTCTCCTGTAACTGACTGAATGCTGTACTGAAGGTGAGGAACAGAGCGGCTGTGTGGGAACAGAGGGTTGTCGGGGCATCGGCTGTTGACCCTTGGAACCGTGCACCTGCTGGGGAGCCACCCAGCATCCCAGAGAGGATGAACCACGTGTCCCCAGCCCGGGAAGAGATCCCATTCAAAATTCCAAGTATGGTTTCTACTGTTTTCATAACATCATAAGGTCGAAAAATCCTAAGATGAGCCATCATTAAGTCGGGGACCGTCTGTATAACGAGAGTGGCTGGCTACTCCTAACCGCTGGACAAAGCAGGGAGAGAAAGAATGAGCTCAGGGATTCGAACTCCCAGCTCAAGCTGCATATGGATCTATGTTGGCCCCCAAGAAATCCCTGCCTCCTGTAGCCACTGGGCTCAGACTCCCGAAAATCAACCCAGAGCCTCATCCCTGGGGCTCATTCACCAGAGAGAATGCCAGCCGCACCAGAAGTTCGGAAAAGGCACAACCCTCCCCACCCAGCCTCCCTGGTGGCATGACCCTGCCAACACCCTGACGTCGGCCCCAGAAAACTGAGGAGACAGAACACATTTCTGTTGCGTGAAGCCACCCAGTTTGCGGAGATTTGTCATGGTGGCCCTGGGAAGCCCGTGCAGAAGACTGGCTCCGATGAAGGTGGCCACACCAGGGTGGTGGTCTAGCAGGCGGGGAGGCGGGCCCGGTCTGGGACACCGTAGAAGCAGAAGTGAGGACGGGCGGGACGGGCTGCTGGGGTGGAAGCAGGATGGAGCAGGAGAAAGAACAAAAGGACAAGGCCAAGGGCTTGGCAAATTCAGGGCTTGGGTGGGCGCAGGTGGGGCGCCTGGAGGGGACCAGGCCGTGATGCTGTCACTGGCCTCCCCATGCCCCACAGGAGCAGCTTCCCAAGACAAAAATCCACAATTCCTGAGCCAAACAGCAGGGAGGAGCTGGGGGGGTGGGGAGGGGCCGTTAGAACTTTCAGGGCTTGCCACCTCATGTCCCACACTCACAGAGCCCCCAGGCCCCCAAACAGTGCCCCACCATCCTTGGACTGAGGGTCCAAGCTTCAACTAGTGCTTGACATAATTTTTAGCACAAGTGGTTTTAGCCAATTAATAACCGGGGACCCATCCCACGGAACTGTCCACCCGCGCTCTCTACCTTCTTGAGTGCGGGCCAGATGCTCTGCTCCCCAGAGGAAAAAAACCTCCAGGTGTTGAGAAGGTGGAATTGGTGGGGGGAGGGAGCGTGCAGTGCATATGCTGAGACTCAGGCTTTCTACTGGGGAAAACCACCACAGGACAGCTCTCCAGGGAAGGGCCCAGGTTGTTCAAGAGTTCCCAAGGAGGACCTCAGAAAACCGTATCTAGGGAGATACAAAGGTGTAAAAGAATCCTTACGAGGTTCGATGCTGCATTTATACCCATTTTCTATTTACAGCACCCAACAAATTATGCACAAAATAAATCAGCAAGTGCAACTTTAAACATCATTTGCCTTTGAAAGGCTTGAGATGTCTAGGAACCTTCTGGTGGTCCACAGGGTGGCGTTCCACCCCAGTTCACACGAGAAGGCCCAGTTGTGCACCTCTCTCCAGAGTGTACGGCCTCTGCAGGAACTTACATGCTGTGCTCTCCCCAGGACAGGAAGGCTGCTCTAAGCAGGAACAGAGCTGTGTTGAAACAGTCGGGCTAATGGTAAACTGGACAAATCGAAGGAACAACAGATAACCAGGTGGGGATGCCTCCGGGCTGGTAGGGCTGGCGAGCAAGATGGTACCACACTGGGAAGGCCGGTGGGCCACCCTCCTCCCACGACCCCGAGGACCCCCCCACACCTGAGTCACGGGCCCCCTGAGGCTGTGGGAGGCAGGACTGACTACCATACAAACATTACTAAAAGGCCCAAATATTTTATTCGGCATTAATGAAAACATAATTCCAATCAGGGGGCCCCAAGCTTTAACGGGAAGCAGTTTTTAGGAGAACAAGACATCCTGAGAACAGAAAGTGCTAAGCTAGCCCTTACTGTTCTGTCCTGAAGACAAGGAGACAGGGTGTATGCCTTCCCCTCCTGAAAAACCCAGGATTTGCCAGAAGTCAGGATGGGGTGAGGACCCAGCTCATCCACCCAGTGCATCCGGTCTTGTCATTCTAAACTCAAGATGTATTTACCAAAAATCACGCCCAATCTGCCACGTTAACTACAGAAGTGGGTTTTATAACTTTAACTGCCCATAACATTCACTTGGGGTAAGAAACTGTATTGACTCGTTTGTGTTTGTTCTAGAAAACCAAATTTGCTCATCAACTTTTTATGTAACATTTAACCTACGAACTATGATCTTTTACGGTTCCCAGACCCAATTCCAGAGTGGGGGGTAGGGTCCCCCCACAACACCAAGCTATTCTCAGATACCAGCAAGAATTCAACTCACTTCTAGCACCGTCTACCCGAGACAGCGCCAGACCCCACAGGTGATGGGCTCGGTCCCCAACGCTGCCCCACACACATTCAGGCGCCAGCCAGGAGCCCCAGGCTGTCACCTTTGCTTTATCTGCTTACAGATGGCAGGTTCCAACACCCTCCTCCTTAGGTTCTTTTCATTCGCTAGAGCAGCTCACAGAACTCAGGGAAACTGTTAGTCATGTTTACCAGTAAAGGATACAATAAAGGATGCGAATCTACAGCTAGATGGAAAAGGAAGGGGGCGTGGGGCTACCATGCCCCCGGAGGGCCTACTGTCCCCAATCTCCATGTACTCACCAACCTGGAAGCTCTGTGATCCCGTCCTCAGGGGTTTTTAGGGAGCTAGAGGTGGGAGCTAGGGGTGGGACTGGGAGTTTCAACCCAAGAATCACAGGACTGGTTCCCCTGGCAACCAGCCCTCCCAGCCCTGGGGAGGGGTCTAAAGTCTCCATTAACATAACACAAAACACCCTCTGGCCCTTTGCTACCCAGGAGTCCAAGGGTCTGGGGAGCAGGGAGCCCAAAGCCATGAACAAAGACCACATCCATATGAGAAATATAGTTTGGTCATCTGAATGACCAATCTGTATATCTTCTAAATCCCGATATGGCATGTGGCTGTTACCTAATTGAGGTGTAATCAACCCCACCAAGAGGAGACACCTGACATAACCTCCTGAAGTTAGAAAGACCTATCTGTTCTTCCCGGGGAGCAGAAGCATTTTACAAGCTGATACGGTCTCAAGTTTGCATGAGGCGATGCTACAAAAACGCCCCATCATCAAACCCGCCCAGGGCCCTGGTGTGCAGCTCCCTGTGGCCATCACTTGAGGCTGGGGCTCCAGGGAGCAGGTCCCTGAGGGCTCGTGCGGGGTGCGGGTGAGCTCAGGCTCAATGAGAACCACGCTCAACGAGAACCACGGAAACCCCAAAGGCACAGGCAGGTGAAAACCCCCTTTGAACTTTCCCAAAGTAGCAGGTGAGCCTGGAAGAGTTCCCAACAGGAACGGGGTGGACTGAGATGCAGTTACTTTTCAGACACAAATGCCCTTAGAGGTATGTGTGCATAACTGCAGGCCGTATGACCAGTACTGGGGACCCTGTGGGCAATACTGAGGACATCCATGGTGAGTACTGAGGACCCCTATGAGGAGTACTGGGGACCCCCCAATGGGAAATACTGGGGATCC